TAGCAAAGGAGCGCCCTGAAACTAACAGTATTAGCCAATCAGATGAAGAAGGGGGCGGGTCTTAGGAAAGTGCGTTCCTCCTCCTCTCGTTTCTTGCTCAAGTCGCCACATAAATTGTGGTTCATTGCTGAAGTTCTACACGGAAAGTCACCTTGCGCTGTTTACGGCTCCATTCAACGGAGAGACGTGTTAAAAGTAAAAAAATGAATAAATGAAACTTTGTGTTTGGAGAGAAGGACGATAGAGAGAACAGAATTGCACGGAGTGGGCACCATGCAGTTCATGAACTCCAGGGAAGACGTCACGACCATAGATAGAGGTCTGAACAATAAATGGCGCTGGGCGTGGCTGGAGGAGACGGGGCGAGATGGAGAGCCATTTAGCAGGAAGTGGTGCAGGAAGTTAGGTGAACCAGGCACTTGCTTCTGCACGCTGTGCTCCAGGAACGCTTATTTACGCATCCAGCTGCAAAAAGGTGCTACGCTAACATGAGTTAGACCCTGGTCATCCTGCTGCAAACTACACGGGAGCTACGGCGACAGCTGATGTACCAGCAGCAATAATTACGGGTTAGAAATAAGGGTTTGTGCTTTCCTTACTGAACCTGAACTCTCACTCACACTAGATATAGACGCACCTAAAATTGCACTGATATATCATTCAACCAACTTCAAATTTTATTTTTATTTTATTTTAACCAGCTCAAAGCTTTTCACTAATAATTCTGCATCATTCTGTCTTTGGGTTTCAGTTTTAGACCTTTAACGAGATCCCAGAAACCAAACAGGAAACAAAGCAAAAACACACAATAATAAATAAAATGCTAAATAAAAAAGACGCTTTTGAGCATAATGAAAAAAATTGACCTAAAATGACAAAAACAAAAGTGAAAATAAAGTCCAAAAATTAGAGCATTATCAGAGCATCTCCAATCTATTTGCACTGATCTTTACCTGCTGGGGATTTTAAAGAAGCACAAAAAGTTATAAATTTGAGAACATTGTTTAAAGAATGCCTGAAAAACCTCTGAACATCACATCACAGGTATTAGAGCATCTAAAAAACATTTGAATAACATCACAAATAGCGTCTCTGATTTCCCTCCGTCTCTTCCTGTTTCTTTCATATTGGATCGCTTTTTCAAACGCCGAGGCCGACGCCATCGCCTTCACAGCTGGTTTATTGAACGTTTTACTTGGTGTGCAGGGAGACGCTGACATGCAGGTTTACAACATTCTTTATTGGTGGTGGAATAAATTTGTACTCCTACTTTTTGCAGTAATGGTTTTGCAGCCCGTCTTCCAAAGTAGCGCCTTTTGTTCAACAAACTCTGTGTGAAATCCAAACCGCCGTCATAAATCGCTCAGCTGATGCTGTCGCCATGTTTTGTTTGCTGGTAGCTGTAGTGTGCATGCATGCCGCGCAGGAAATAAACCTGTTTGGAGGAGGGGTTTACGATGCATTCCAAGTGTGTGGGAAAAATAAAACTCGGTGAAATAGATGCAGACGGCTTAATGTCGTCCTGTGAATTTGTGCTTGATGGAAATGATGGATAGTCATTTTAACTATTGGGAAAACTCGATATCAAGGGCGTAGGTCTGATTTGAACTTTGGTAGGGACACTATTGGTCTGGTGTCATTGGTGCTATGCAATATGCGTGCCCTTTTTTATGCTCGATGTGAGCATCCGTACTGATAAGAGGAATTCATTGTTAAAAGAGAAAAGCAACATTTTGCTTCATTAATAAAAATGTTATAAGCTCTACACTCATTAGATGCTGTTTATCAATGTTTGAAGTATCACCGGCTCTGATGAATGTGGAATTAGGACTGTTTTCCACTTTGAAAACGGTTTCATTTGAACGACTAAGAGAGAAGGTAAATTATGAGGTGCCCCCAGGGACATAAATCAGAATTAACTTGCATATACACATATT